GGGGGCACTGGCTTCGTCTGGGGTCCTCACGCCAGCCTTGTGGCCGGAACGCTGCCCAGCGACCAGCCCTGTTGTCAGGCTCCTCCCCTGTGTCCACCCTCTCTGCGCCCCTGTGTCCAGGGTCGGTGCTTTCCAGCCTGAAGCCCATTGCCTCGCTTACCTGTCCGGCTTTGAAGCTGAGGTGGGACGGTACATGTGGTTGCTGTGCTCCGTGATGGTCAGAAGCACAAGTCCTTGGCATCTTTTAAACTCGGATGTGCGCCTGCTCCTCCCACATGTCTCAGCTCTAAGGAGAGCACTGTTCTCAGTGGGTCACGCAGCTCCCGGGGGGCGTCCCTGTGGCCGGGTTCTGGCCCCCGCGCTCCTTTTGGCACGGCCTGCTTCCCAACACTCAGTCTCTGAGGAGTTTGAGGACCTTGGTTTTGTTTAGCTTGTATGACTCCAACTTGTTCCTCAGCCCCTGAAGTCTGGGGGTTGAGGGGTGTCCTGTCGTGGGGGTCGCTCAGCTTCCTGACAGAGCGCCAGCCACAGTCGGTCGGGTGTGCCCAGCCTGCTCTGTTACTGTCTGTCTGTTGTTTTATATTTTCACACTGTTTTATACGAAATGTGTATGTCCAGCTACTTTTTTTTACTTTTATGCTTGTCTAGCTAACTTTTTCCTTTATGAATTGCACTACCTTTAAAACAATCTATAGTAACTGAGTCTTGAATTTAAAAATATGACTTTTGAAATTCTATAATGATAATTTTATTTAAAAATGCTTTTGTGATTATAGTTTTTAAAAATTTTTCTTTGTATTTTGGGGGGGTAATTAGGTTTATTTGTTTGTTTATTTTAATGGAAGTACTGGGGATTGAACCAAGAGCCGTGTGAATGCGAGGCATGCAGTCTACCTGAGCTGTGCCTTCTCCCCGTGTCATAGTTTTAAAAGTAAGCATCACACTTAGGTTTTCACATGCAGTTAACTTCCTTGACTGGTTTTGTATAGCCCGTGAAACCACCAGAGTTCTTACTCTTTGGGGTTAGTTATTTTGTATCACAACAGCCTAACAGGAGTAATTCCTGTTGCAGGGATAAAGCTGAGGATTGTAATTCAGGAGACAGAAATGACCAGGCATTCAAAGCAGATATTGTAGATTTTGAATAGGGAAGGCTTAAAAGAAAGAAACGTGTTTTCTCCATGAACCAGGGTCACCAGTAGAAGCTGGGTACATCACTAGGAGTGTGTGCTTTCACCATTTTCATAGGATTTGAGGCGTTTCCTATGGACCCTCAGATCTGTGCAGACCGCTGCCTCTTAGCGCAGAGTCACAGAGCATGGTTTTCTTTCTCACACTCGGGATGACTGCGATGAGGAGACACAGGTGCATGTGACCCGGGTACGTTGTAACACCTGTCACAGAGCTTTGTGTCTCCTGAAGAGGTTTCCTGCTGCACTACTCACACGTAAAAGGAGGTGGCTGAAGTGTTTTCAAAGACTGGGATTTGGACCGTGTGGCTTTCTGTCTCTGTCCTCAGAGCTGAGTGTGCTGTGGTGTCCCGCAGGTCAGAGACGAGCAACACCAGTGTTCTCTGGGGAACCTGAGGGTCCCCCTCAGCCAGCTGCTCAGCAGCGAGGACATGACTATGAACCAGCGGTTCCAGCTCAGCAACTCAGGCCCCAACAGCTCGCTGAAGATGAAGCTTGCCCTCAGGGTACTGCGGTGTGCGGCGGGCCGCTCAGGCAGTTGGGAACGGGCTGGGAGGACGAGGGTTGGGGTGAGGGCGCAGGGTGGGGGGCCCAGGAGGATGGGGGTCAGGGTATGGGGTGCAGGGCAGGGCCAGAAGGATGGGGCTCGGTGTGCAGGGTGGGGGACCCAGGAGGATGGGGGTCAGGATGTGGGGCACAGGGAAGGGCCAGGAGGATGGGGTTCAGGGTGTGGGGTGCAGGGTGTGGGACTCTGGAGGACAGGGGTCAGGATGTGGGGTGCAGGGTGGGGCCGGGAGGACGGAGATCGGCGTGCAGGGTGGGGTACCTGGGAGAGTGGGAATCAGAGTGTGGGACACGGGACAGGGGACTCTAAATCCTTTGGCCCTGAAAGTATTTGCTATCTTGATCAACAAAGTTTTCTGTTAATGTTCAGTTTTCAAAGTTCATTAAGAAGAGAAAATTTAATAAAGCCCTGCAGGACGGCAGAGGTGAGGTCATAGGAAAAATAAATTTTGCCCAAAATAGACAATGATTTGTTTGTAAGTACCAAAGGAATTGCTGAAAATAAAACTGGCAAACATATGGGAAAATGTTAGAACCCCCTAATTATTAAAATGAAGAACCAACTTTCAAGTCAAACAAACTTGGTCTGTGGAGGGCGCAGTGGAAACGGTCTCCTGTGCCTGGTCACCCCTGGGTGTGGGGACGGCCTCCCGCAGGGACCACAGCCCCTCCGGTTGTCCAGCTGGAGCCCTCCCCCTGGACGTCCGGCTTCTGGTAATAACAGAACTGGAGACGCTGGCTGCAGCTTTACTTCATGGAAGCAGAAACAGACTTCAGGCTGCCAAGGTGACCCCAGATGCAGAGTCACAGACGTAGATCTGCTCAGGCCGTGTGCTCAATTCAGAGCACGTGTGAAAAGCAGGCAGAGTCAGTGACCCACTGCCCACGCAGGGGAGGGTGTGGCTGCCCCTGCTGGACCCTGGTGGAGACGGTAGGGTGGAGGCCCACGTGGGGTGGGGTTTGTCTCCCGGCCAGGGCGTGACGCGACCTGTCCATGGTGACGCCGCCCCTGCCGTGCGTACCCGCTGCCGGTGGAGGAAGTGAGGTGGAGGAAGTGAATGGGACGCACGGGAGTGAGTCTGCGCGTGCGGTGCTGTGTCCCTCCCTCCCACGGGCCTTGTCCTAGGCTTCCTCCACACGGTAGAAGAGCTGAATGGATAGACCGGATTGTTCTTTGTGCTTTGTGCGAAGCTTTAAAGAAACACTTGCAAATGAGTATCTCTAAGCTGTTCATGTGTGAGGCTATTACCAGTGTCACTGGCTTTATTTTTGGTCTCTTTTCACCTCTAGGTGCTCCACCTTGAAAAGCAAGGAAGACCTCCAGACCACCAGCACTCAGCTCAAGTAAAGCGACCCTCTGTCTCCAAGGAGGGCAGAAAGGTTTCAGTCAGATCTCAGACACCCGCATCCCCAGGCACCGGTGACAGCGGCACCGCCCCGTCTACACCGGTCACTGGGGGCAGTGACAAGCCTGGTGTGGACGAGAGAGCCCAGCCTGCAGAGGCTGGTCCCCTGGAGCCAGGGGACCTGGGCAGAAGCTCCTCCAGCCTGCAGGCCGGCGCCGCCTGCTCCCCTAGCCACGCCTCCGTCAAGGAGCCCACCCCGAGCATCGCCTCAGACATCTCGCTGCCCATCGCCACGCAGGAGCTGCGCCAGAGGCTGCGGCAGCTGGAGAAGTAACATGGCTCCCCACCCCGGCTGAGTCGGTGCAGGGCCCCGGGCTGTGGTGGGGTGCCAGCTAGGCGCAGCTGCCTCCAGGTGTTGCCCTGCCTTGTGAGGCCTCTGGCTTCCATGTAAACCTGCCGTTTCCAGGGCTGGTGTTCGGCTCACTTGAAGATTAGGCCCAGTGGGGTGATGTGGCCACGAGTGGGAGAGGCCCTGGGGCTCCTGTGCGTCCTGCCCAGACCAGGAAGGCAGTCTAGAGCTGATCCATTGGATCCTAAATGGGCAGGACTTGGCAGGACTTTGTTGCGTCAGAACAGGTCCTGCTCTGTCTGCTTGTCCAACCTCCTTACCACCTCCAAGCTGATGCTGTGTTTGGAGGTTTGTGGGGCTTTGTCCCTCACGCCTTGAGTTGGAGGTGTCGGGGTTTCCTTGGATAAGGGCCTGGAAGCCTGCACTTGTCCTGAGCTTCTCTGTCCACTGGAGGAGGAAGTTGCCCTCTTAAGTAGTTCTCCTCTTTGCTGCGCCAAGGAGTGTGGGCTAAGATGTGGGGTCAGAGGCACGCGGCTGCTCCTGGGGCCCGTGCTCAGAGCCACCCGTCTGTCTCAGAGCCTGGGCCAGGGCTGGGCCTTGACACAGAGATGAGGGCATAGTGACCCTGTTGGCCCATCCCTGAGAAACAGCGAGTGACTTTCACGGGCTCTGAGGAAGGCCCAGGCCCAGGAATTCCGCAGCACGGGGTTTGTGGTTAGGAGATGCAGTGTCTCATTTTTAGGTTGAGCCGTCAGCTTAGTGACGGAGTTACGTCCACCTCTCACATGAAGGCTGAGCCCAGGGCCTGTCTGTGCCCGGGTCCACAGGTCGCGTCCGTGGGCACTTCGCCCCTCGTGAGTGCATAGTCTCACGTGTGGCTGTGGCAGTGACATGCCCCCTGTGTTGTTCTGCTTTGTCTCCCCAGCGGGACGACCCTGGGACAGTCACCCCTGGGGCAGGTCCAGCTGACGGTCCGGCACAGCTCCCAGAGGAACAAGCTGGTGGTGGTCGTGCACTCCTGCAGGTGAGAGCGCGGGTCCCAGCCCAGTGGCAGGGAGGCTGTAGCCCCAGTTTCACTGCACTTGTTGCATGATGTCTTCTAGTCAGAACCATCTTGGTTTCGTTGTGACACTCCCTGGAACTGCTGTTCTGTGGTCTGCGTGACACTCCCTGTGGTTGAGTGTTTAGGGCAGGAAAGTGAGCAGTTTTTCTTTTACTGAAGTGTCTTTGGGGGATTGGACTTCCAGGAGTGGATTTGTGTCCGCCCAGGGTCTGGGCGAGTCCGGGTCGTGGCAGCAGAAGCCGTGGTCCTGCAGGAAGGGGCGCACCACTCTTCCCCGCCGTCAGGAGGGCTTAGCGTGCGCGGGGCTGATGGGCAGGCGTGCAGCCGGACGCTGTTGTTGCTTCTGTTGTGCTTGATTGACGGTGCTGGTTGGAGCTGGCGGGTTATTTTCTGTTATGTGACTTGTCTGTTTCACTAGTAGCTGTGAAACAAGTATTTGGATCTTATAAAAAGGTGTTGGAAACACAGGAAAATAAAATTAGTGAGATTTACAACTATGACCTCACAGCCCCAGAGCCCGGTTCAGTGCGTGTTTGCTCACGGAGCCCCTTCCTGCTCCCGAGTCGTGGCTGTGTGAAGTCCAGGAGCAGAGCACTGACCGGAGGGCTGTCCCTGGCTGGATCTTCAGGTCCATCAATAAGTGAACCATCTGAAGTGGCCACACATGCAGTTGACCCTTGAACGACCCGGTTAGATCTGCGTGGCTCCACCGCACGGGGTTTTTCCAGTAGGAAACGGTACAGCACTCTATGATTTGTGGCTGGCTGGATCCTTGGAGACAGGACCGTGTGTTCAGATGGGTGGCACCCTCAGCCTCAGTGGAGTTCAGGGGTCAACTGTGATTACACACTGGGTGGTATTTGGCCCAGTTGTCCTCAGACAAGAGTGGTGTGGGCTGCGGGAAGGAGCTGTCCCTCTTCCGTGAAGGGATTAGGTGGACACAGCAGACAGTGGGGTCAGCGGCCTGTGCAGGAGCCAAGGAGGACCGAGTACACTGGGGGTCCACGGACAGTGTTGGGAGAGGGGTGGCTTCGTTTGGCCGTGAGTGCAGTGAGGCTGTGTGCGGAGGCCAGGCAGTAGTTTCCGCGAACTCTGGGCCCAGGAAGTGGGCAGAGGCCAAAGCAGCTGTGAGGAGCTGGCGAGGGGCCAAGACAGAGCTGCTTCTGGTGCCCTCAGCACGGAGAGTGCGACCTTAGCCGGTCTGTTCTTGTGGGCACGCCGCGGTCCTCCGTGGTCTCACACCCAACTGCTCTCTGGTTTATATCCTCAGAAATCTCATCGCCTTCTCCGAGGACGGCTCTGACCCCTACGTCCGCCTGTATCTGTTACCAGACAAGAGGAGGTCGGGAAGGAGGAAAACACACGTGTCCAAGAAAACGCTGAACCCCGTGTTTGACCAGAGGTGTGTCCATCTGCGGGGGGTGGGGTGACCCTTGCAGGAAGGCCCCAGGATGTAACCGCACAGCCCTGCTGAGCTGTCATGAACTTGACAGTGTAGATAAGCAAGTAGGCTCTGGGCTTCACACGTGAACCCTCAGGCTGCACTCCACGAGCTGAGCCCTGCGCATCTTGGCATGGCTACTGCAGGGCTTAGGGTGGGCGCATCGCCAGTGATTGGGGGACAGTGAAGTCGATGGTGCTTGAGCCGCCAACCCAGCTTATGTCCACCCGGAAGGTATCGTGGTTGCTCACAGTGACCTTACCTAAAGCAAGGTCAGAAACTGACCAGCAGACACCCGGTCCTGCTGTGGGCAGCTTGCTTGTAGGAAAGCAGTCACAGCCGTGTGTCTCTGCGAGGCCTCTGGCCTTGTCCTCTGCTTTTCCAGAGGCCCTGTGCCTGCAGCCCCATGGCTGCCTTGTGGACTTGGCTCCTAGAGGCATTTGCTCCTCAGCAGCTGGCTCCAGCCGCTGGAAGTGTCTGTAGCCCGCCCTCCACTGAGGCCATGCCCATGATGCCGGTCTTCCACCCATCCGGGTCCTGGAGTCCGTCTCCTCGAGTCTGTGGGCCAGTCCCACACTGAACCCCAGAAGAGCTGGGAGTTGTGTCCAGACGGGACATGGGGTCACAGGCGGTCGGGCCTTGCCCACATTTAGGTGCTGGAGTCTCCTCTCACATTAGGAAAGCAATGGAGAAACCTTCATGTCTTCCTGAAATGCCAGGCGCAGACATCCAGTTGGGGGACTCAGGTTTACAATAAAGGCAAAGCGTGACATGAGGACGGTCTCAGACAGATGGCTTTTAGTTGCTACAAAACAGCGCAGGTCACAGAGGAGCTTAGGAGTGGTCCTCTCTCCCGCTTCAGCTTCGACTTCAGCGTCTCGTTGCCGGAGGTGCAGAGGAGGACTCTGGACGTCGCAGTGAAGAACAGCGGTGGCTTCCTGTCCAAAGACAAAGGGCTTCTTGGCAAAGTAAGTCTGACACAATCCTTGATCAGTTCCTACGTTTCGTAGAAGTTAAGCACGTACCCAAAGTGCCTTTCTCGGACCAGCATCACACGGGCGGACAGCCCATGTCTGCTGCGCTGCCGTCAGCGGCACGGGAGCCAGTGTCCCCAAGAGGCGTCATAATAACTTAAGTGCAAGACTGCCGAGCACAGGGGCCCCCGTGGGTGTGACCAGTGTGGGGTTCACAGGCAGCTCCTCAGGGAAGAAAAATTGAAAAACGAGACTCAAGACGAGGGTGGTGCCATGTTGCCCCGAGTAAGACCAAGAAGATGGAAGAAATGGTGAAAGGCGTAGAACCCACTCCAGCAAATGTCTTCTCCCCCAGGTGCTGGTCAGCCTGGCATCTGAAGAGCTCACCAAAGGCTGGACCCAGTGGTGAGTGTCCCGATCGTAGGCAGGGAGCCCGGGGTGTTCGTGCAGGGGTGCCCCCATGACCGTGTCTGCCTTCTTCCCAACTCCCAGGTACGACCTCACAGAAGATGGGACGCGGCCACACGTGGTGCCGTAGGCGCTGCCCGGGGAGCCCTCCCGCTGCCCCGCCTCTGTGCCCGGACACGCCTCCCTCGGACGCACCAATGCTGTTTATTTTATAATTTCGTGTGTTCAGTCACGTGTACCTTATGGTTTTATAAAACATGTTGACATTTTAGGCGTATTTAGCCAATATTATCCTTGAATTTTGTATGCTTGATTTACTCCAGTATTCCCGCCAGGTGTCACGGCTTGCAGCAGGGTGGCAGTTAGCTGCCGTGTGACGTGCAGTGTGTGTGGGTTGCATCCACTAGGAGGTGCTCTATGGTGGCCTTGTTGTGTGTATCGCTGAGGTACTTACGCTGTGTAAATAGACTCTATTTTTTATAGTCTCTACATGCTGGTTTCAATTCAGAGGAAAATAGATCAAGGAAATATATATATTTTTTCTTCTAAAACTTATTAAATTCTTATGACAAATAATAATTTTTGTCTTTGCAGGAAAAAGTTCTCAGTGACCTATTTTGTGGTGTTTCTTTTTAAAAAGAAAGCCTGAAAGTTTAGTAAATATTAGTATATTTCTGCCCATTATGAATGATGAAAGAATGTATTCAAAATATTTACACTTCCAAAAATACAAACATGTATTATCAAGAAGTCACTTGAAGTGCTTATAAGGAAAAATGTATAACTGAGTAATATAAGATATTAAGAGTTGTCATGGCTCATAAACCATAGTGTGCTTATCTGAAATTTCTTGCATAAAATGAAGTGTCTTAAGTGTATTTTCAGTTGCTTGTTATAACTTACTCATGGGACAGTGCTCAGTACACAGCGACCCTTTCCTGGAATGTCACTCAGGCAGATCTTCAATGGCAGCAGTTAGGCTCTTGTGCAATTTTCAGTGTTTTCTCAGCCCGCACTGTGTCCCAGAGGCTGGGAGGTGGATTGGGGTCCGCAGACGGGAAACCAAGTCTGGACGTTGCACGCAGGGTGGGCTCCCCGGGCTGGCACCCGCCCGAGGGGTCTCCGCTCGCGGCTCTGGGCATCTGTGACCGCCTCCCAGGCTTCCCCACTTGTGCTGCCAGACCTCGGCGCTGGGCCACTGTTTCACAGTTTCCATTGGGGAATATATTTTTCTTCTTAGATTATGAAAAGCATGCTTTCTGTACTTAAACAGCTGAAGCCTCTGGGAGGGAGGCTCCTTCACAGCATCCCAGCTGTGCGGGCAGGCCGGGTGACACCAACGACTCCCGAGCAGTGAGGACGCCAGGCCACGAGCAGACGTGGGACAGGCACGCTGGGGCTGCCCGGGCGCGTTGGCTGCCTCACACTGTGCACCATGGCTGACGTGTCAGGGGCTCTGACCTCGCGGCGCAGGCTCTTGTGCTCTCCTCAGCAGTGAAACTTCACGCTGAAGCTGCTTCCTGTCGTCACAGGAGGACGCTGACGTGCAGGGACGCAGGCTCATGGAACACGTGAGGCCGGTGTGTTAGCAGCATGGCAAGGACATGTACTTCATAGACCTCGCTCTGCCCGTGGCATTGAGTTTGTTGGAGATTTTTTTAAAATGAGGGTTGCTGAAGGGCTTCTGGTGTAATTTCTAAAAGAGGAGAAATACTCTGAAATGTTAGGATAGCAGTGATTTCTGCCAACATCCTCAGTTTCGGGGCTTTGCAGCCATGCGTGTCCCCTCTTCAGTGTGTTGTATTGCTGGAATGCCTCACTTAGGCAAATAGGTTCAAAACCCACACAAAGCCAGTGGCAGCATGAGGCCCACCCTCTGTGGATGGTGGGGCTGGACAACCCCAGCGGCCGGCTCCATTCTCTTTGAAAGGGAAGGAGGAGTGGAAAGGGACTATTCTGTGGTCACTGAAACTCCTCCCACGTAGACTCTGCCTTTACGGCAGACGGGCCATCACAGGCGACCTCACACACCCGCGGGGCGGCTGAGCATCCCCGTCAGGCCGGACGCTGGAGGCCCAGGACGTGCATCGCCAGTGCTCAGTAACTGACTGGTCCGGGAAAGGGAACTTTAACTTCTCTACGTGGAGGGAAAATTAAGGTAGGCGAGTTTGAACTCAGTTACTGTATTGCTCATCCTGTGCCTGAAAGTAGGAAGTCTGAGGTGTTGTTTCAAGTTTCAGGTTAAAACAGAAGCAGCCTTGTAGCTGTATTTGCCACGATTTGTCCATCCTGTGGGAATTCCGCACACAGACGCTCCTGTCAGGAGGCCAGGCCTCCTTTGCAGACCAGCGTGTGTGCCCACCTGGGGCTGTGCCGGATGCTGCGGCAGGTGCTGGTACGCGGCCGAAGGTCCTCTCTGCTCAGCTGACATTACACGACGGCGCAGGGATTTACTCAGTCAGACTTCCACGTGAGCTCGCTTGTGACTTGTATCCCCTTTGTCTCTTGAAGTGAGTTTTTAGTGTGAAACCAGAGAATTTAAAGCAGATGAGATGATAGAATTTATGTTTGCTGTTTGTGAATTCTTTCATGTTCAGGAGAAGCAGGCCACTGGTAAAGGAACGTCCGATCACTGGCATGAGTCTTTAGTTTCTGTCTTCATTGGCCTGTCCTCGGCCGGCCTCAGACTCTGGGCTTTGAAAACGGGATTATTTCCTGGAAGATACTCACGAGTAGAAAACAGTCTTTTAAATGCACTCACTTTGTAACTAGCGCCAAGAGAAGTGGAAGTGGGCCTGGTCTGAACAAACGGAGGCGCGGGCCAGGGCGGGTCTATGTGCGGCCGCCCCTCCCGGCCCCCAGCACCTGGCCCTCTGGGTTTCCTTCTGCGTTGCTGGCCTCTAGGCTCTTCGCTGTCTTCTGACCCCAGACTGTAAGTGTGGAGGAGCGCAGGTTTTGGGTCTGTTTATTGTTTTGCATTCTGCTTAATACCGTTGGCACCTGTGGTTTCCCGTACAGACAGTGCTGCTAAGCTCAGGACCGTCTGCCCCTCTCCTCTGTCCCTCTGCTCTGTGTCCCGTCTGCCTGCCCAGTGCTTCAGCTGGAGACCTAGACCATCCTGACGCCCCCTCCGTGTGTCTGCACACGCAGACGCCCAGCCCTTTAGTTCTGCGGGCGGTGTACCCCGTCCGCCAGGAGTCCCGGGAGCCCAGTTACCTCCCAGCTCACGCAGCTGGCCCACATTCTCCACATGGCGGCCAGAGGGACCTTTTTTAAGTCCAGATCGAATGCACCATCTGCTGTCTCCCGTTGCTCTCAGAACAGAGACCGCTGTGGTCTGGTGTATTGTGTGTGGCCCTGGGGCCCCGGGGCCTTCCCAGTGGATCTGCTCCTGTCGGCCCCTCCCCGTCCGTGATGCCCCGCACAGGACTCACACCTGCCTTCCCCGACCCTGCCCCATCTGACCTCCCCCTCCCGCCCCGCTACTCACCGCAGGTGGTTTCCTCCACGTTCTGACCGACCCTTCGGTCCAGGTTCAGTCTTCTGTTGGAAGGGCCACGTTGCTCCTGTTTGTCATGCTTAACACAAGTGTGATTTAGCCCTGTTTACGGCCGTTTCCCGCCTGGACTGTAGGGCTCCTGGGCAGGGTTATGTGGGTGTTTCTAAGTCTTTTCTAATCGTTTACTACTGCTCCTCGCACATGGTTGGTGGATAAATATCTGTTGGATAAAGGGTGTATGAAGTTGGGCAGACCTTAAACAACAGTAATTTTCCACTTAAAGACAGACGCCCATGGACAGTTCATAGTAACATTGTGAGACAAGGTACAAAGCCAGTTATCTGAGAAGCCACTGAGGCAGGAAAGTGGGAAGGGAGCCGGGAACCTGTGTTCAGTGTTAATCTGGAAATCCTGGACAATACAATATGAAAAGAAAATGATTATGAATTTTGTGTTGGGCAAGAAGGTCATTCTCAAATATGAGATTGTCTCCCTGAAAAACCTAAGAAATTCATCTGAAAACTTTTGAATTGAACAAGTATTGAATAAAGGGCCAGTCATAAAAACTTAAATTTCTGTGTCTTATGCACTAATATTAACGGCTATTAGAAAATATGACGGGAAACGTCACGCAGCAGCCTTGGAGCTGCAACTGCGCTGAGCACCTGCAGCCAGTCGGGGGTGCAGAATGGGTGGGGGCCCCCAGGGGACTGTCACCACTCACCTGTCTGGCCCCTGGGGCAGCCACGTGAGAACAGTTTGTGGCGATTGTTTGGCACCACCCCAGGCAGCTGCAGTGTCACCGACTGGGACAGACAAGAGCTGACCAAAACATTCTGAAGGAAAACCTAGGAAAGAGAGGTCCCAAGGGCGCTTTGAAAAACTCTGGTGTTCCAGGGGCTCTGGAAAGACGTGTGCACCTGCCCAGGAGAGGCCTGTGCGAGAACGGTCTGCCACCTCCAGCTGGTGTTGAGGCTCTGCAAGCGGGACGCAAAGAAAGGCAGTTGTCGACTGCCTGACGGGATGTGGAACACAGACCACCTCCCACACACACATGCCCTCCCCCCCTACATGCACACACACTCCCCCATGTACACACACTCCCCTACTCCCTGCACATGCACTCCCCCCTCCACCCCTCCACACTCCCCCCCTACTCCCCCATGTACACGCTCCTCCCCCGCATGCTCCCCCCACATACGTCCTATGTACACACACTCCCCCCACTCCCCCCTCCACATGTACACACCCCCCACAACACTCCCACACACACACCTCACACACACACACTCCCCCCGTGTACACACATGCTCTCCATACATACCCTCAGGCCCTCAGCAGAGGCTGAGAGACCCGTCCACAGTACGTAAGGAAATCTCCGACTGTTAGCTAGCTGACCAAGAAGGCTAACCTAGCAGACTTCGGAGGCCGCACATAACAAAGAATACAATTTTTAACCGACTACTCCAAGAAAGTTACTAAGAAACACCCAGGTTGGAGGGGAGCACTCTAGAGTTGTCGCAAACATTTTTTTAAATGTTCAGTTTACAATAATAAGAGAAACATGAGGCATGTGAAGAACCGCACATAATGGGCCGTACCAGCCGAAAGAGCAGCCAGCAGGAAGTGCACGTGCGGAAGCCCAGATGTCAGACAGGCAGGTGGACCTGTCAGCGGCCACCCCAGTGCACCCAAGTACAACTATGTCTGAAGGTTTCAAGGGAAGTTTGAGGCTGATTCTCAGCAAAACGGTGAAAAATCAATGGAGAGAAATTATCAGATGGATGAAATAGAAATTCTGAGTTTACAGTACGGTAAGTGGCATGTAAATTTCACTGGAGGATTTCAACACTAGGTTTGAGCTGACACAAGAGTCAGAAAACTTGAGAAGTCACTCAGATCTTGTCTGAGGACAAAAAACAAGAATAGTGAACAGGCCACCAACACGTCACCAACACACAGTGACGTCCCAGAGGGGAGGTGGGAGCAGAACCAGGACATTCAGAAGTAAAGGACAAACATGCTTAAAGTTGGTGGAAAACAGGACACATTAAAGAAGCCCAGCAAACTCCGGGTCAGACAGACTTAAAGGCCACAGCAGGCACGTCTTCCTCAAACTGGTGAATGTCAAAGACAAAATCTTAGCACTTCAAGAGGGGCCGTACACACAAGGGCTCCTCAGCAAGACCCTGCCGCCCGCTGGCGCGAGACCACGGGGAGCAGGGCGAGGCCGGGGCGCAGGTGCCCCCGGTCCCGTTTGTCACTGCTGCTGGCCCACCTGCCCTGCAGGAGCACGCAAGGTGTCTGCGTGCTCTTACTGGGGGCTGCTCCTAACCACTCTCTTTAGATGAGCCCTAGGGTCCTGCCCCGGGGACCACCGCGGCTCCGGGCCCCACCTCCGTGCTCAGATGCACGTCTGGCCCCACTGACCGGGAGCAAGCCACACACCTCTGCTGCCGCTTCCCACCGTGAAGCAGGGTGGCCGTGAGCCTGCCCGGGAGGCGGAGGGGCAGGGTGGAGGGTGAGCTGGCTCCCCGCCCTGCCCTCCCCTTCAGATCGCAATGTGGGAGCCTCTGCTCCACGCTCACCTGGCAGGCGGCCACACAGACAGGGCGGTGGCTGCCACCAGCCTCACCATCCCCTGCCATCCCAGGCACTGGCCAAGGCCTGCTCGGTGGTGAGACTGCGGGCCCCGCCCAGCCTGGTTCGGATGATGCGGCCTCCTCTCCCCTCCCACAGTGTAAAGGGGCGACAGTTTGTGTTTACAGCTTTCCTTCATTGGGGTATGAAACACACACAAATGTGCAGAAACCCTGACTATTCTGCCTTGAATTTTCACCTGTGGCTGCCACGTGACCAGGTCGCGGCAGCCCGGGCCCCCTCCCGCGGCAGCAGCTCCTATCCCAGCACCCGCCCTCCAGGTGAGCCAGTCAGAGTCAGAGCTCTGAGTGCACCTGGCTTTTGTTCTAGGGCTTGTTTGTGGCAGACGCGTGATGTCTCTGGCCTGGGGCAGGGCTGGGCGAGAGCAGCGTTGCAGAGAGAAGTGAGGCTGGTCAGCGCGGGCTTTGTACACCTCCTGCCTCCAAGAAGCCGGCCCACAGCCCTGCAGATGCACCTGCGGGGCCAGGCCTGTGGGAGAGAGGGACTTCTAGGTCCAAAAGAGACCCTCCCTTGTCCCCAAGACTCCCCCAGACGGAACCCCCGTTGGCTGGGACGCGGGTCCTCCTTGGAGCAGGACCCACCACACGCACCTCTTTCCTTCGAAGGAACTCCAGACGGGACCCCAGAGACCAGGCCGGTTACCGCAGCAAGCGCAGCGTGGATCTCCTCCGACGTGAGGATGGGGTGGAGGGCTGCGCCTCACGGGGCTCTGACAGCAGGCCGCCCCGTCCGCAGTCTCACCAGGACAGTCACACTCGCCACAGCTTTCCTGGAATCTAACCCTGACTGAGGGCCTTGGGGAGCCCGGTCCTGTGTGTTTTGGGTCTTTTCATTTCCTTGAGCTGCTGAAGTTGGATTTCTCTCCGTAATGAAAGCCAGAGCTATTTGTGAAAGTTTTCCAATTAAATAAAGAGGTGGAGACGCAGCCCCTGTTCCACATGTAACCTCACCTCCTCCTGATGTACACTTTGGTTCTCCTTTCTGAATTCGCTTTTCCCTTCCTTACAAATATTTGTATCAAACAACCTCTTTGTTTTGCCTGAGATTTCCTTTTACTTGTCCACGATTTTGCAAGCTGCTTCAACCCTCAGTTTGAGAGACTAAGCTTTTTATTTATGAACATTTTAATGTTACTTAAATGAAACATAACACCAGCGCTTCTTGGATCACTTTTTATCAACAGTTCTTCCAAACTCCTGCCCGGAGGTGGTGCCGTGAAAGGGTCCCTCACAACTTCCAAACGTGAGTGTCCCAAACTGAGGAACCAGGGCCGGCACAGCTGTGACGTCTGTTCTTTCAGGCTGAGCATCGGGACAGCCTTGGGGAAATTCTACTGTAGACTCAACATTCCCCTTCTTTAAAACTGTAAACCCGAGACGCACCTGGTTGACCTTCTCCAAACAAAATAAAAGGCAAAACGCTGATAACCCTCCGTCCCGCTCAGTGACATTCAGATCGCAGCCCAGCACGCACGCACGAGGCCATGTGTGCAAGGCTGTGAGGGGTCAGCACCTGCCTACACGGACCAAACGTACTTATGTGCCTGTGCGGGCACGCGTGTGTGTGCACGTGTGTGTGGGCATGGGCATGTGTGCGCTGTGTGTGCACCTGAGTGTACTATGCGCCTTATGTTACGTACGTGTCCACACGCACATGTGCGACCGCATGTAAATGTGCTCGTGTGCACGTGTTTTGTGCATATGCATGTTATGTGCGCGTGTGTGCATACTCATGTGTGAGTGCACACGTGTGTGTTTAGCTCCTCCAAGACCATCTTCTCAAACCCAGGGTCTGAGTCTGAAAAGCAGAGCCACAGGCAAGGCCTGTGTGCATGTGGTTTGTCTGGGAATGTGGGCCTGAGAGTGAGACCTTTTCCTTTTTCTCTGTTCTCTGAAAGAGTTTTCATAAAATGGTGATCATCTGTTTCTTAAAAATCTGGTGAAATTTGTCTTTAAAACTTTCTGAGCCTGAGACTTTGATGACCCATCCACTTTTCAAGTTTTGTGTTAGTTCATTTTCAGTTTCTCATCAAATCAATTTTGAAGATTATCTGTTTCATGCGTTCCACTTTATTGGAAAGTATTTCTTGTGAATGCAGCATCCCTATTACGTTTGCAGTTGCCTGTTTCCTAATGCCATTTGCTGGTGCCTTCTACTTCTTTCTTGACTGGGTAGCTTGATTTGACAAATCCGTGCATCTTATTAGTTTTGTAAAGACCTTGCTTATTGTTTTTTGTGTCACTTGTTCCTCATTCTTGTTTTTGTAGTAAAACCCGCTCCTGCCCCTTCTGACTGCTTTGGTTCACTCTGTTGTTGTTGTAGCTTCTTGAGTTGAACATCAAACTTATTTTCAGTCTTTCTTTTAAAACAACTAAATCTAGTTTTTTAAGGCTATAGATCTCACCCCACATCTTGCTGCAGCTTCATCTCCCAAGTGTTGGGAGCACACATTTCGTGGGATCTAGGCGTGGTCCATTTCCACCCAGACTGACTTTTTATTCCGTGAGTGATGTAGACCATTTGTAAATTTCAAAGCACATTTCCCCCACCTTTTTGGTGTCAGTTATGAATTTAATTGCCCTGAGGTCAGAGAAGGTGGTCCGCACGATGTTCACGCTTTGAGGGGGTGGGCGTTAAGCTCACCCACCCCCGTCCAGTCTCTCCCTCCTGGCCCCAGGTCCAGAGCAGGTCTTCAAGGACATTCTGAGATGCCCTTCTTGGTGGTATTTGAGATTTCCAGATAGCAGCTCCTGTGACCGAGTGGAAGGGGGCTTGGTGTGACCACTGGTCGGCGCCTGTATCTTGGTCCACGGCTCTGTGCCAGCGGCACCAGCTGGGGAGACTTTCAGCTGCTTTTCCTGGGTGGCTCCTGGCGGTGAACCCAGCCCTCGTTTCGGTCCTCCAAG